TTGGGGCAGTATATGCTTATTTCTCACCATGGAATTTATGGTTTGGAGAGAGCATCTCGTCCATGCCTTGAGGAATAGTCATCCTCTTCTCTAAGTTGGGAGGGGCATCCAGCATTTTACCCAGGCACTCTCATCATTGTAGAGCCTCTCTGAGAGGTCTCTCACTTCCCCTGGGACGTTGTCATCCCTTCCTTCATCACAACTTTCTTCCTCTTGTGTTGACAGCTGCCTCCACGCGGTTCCTCTGGCTGCCGGTCCAGGATTCTCAGGAAGAAGCAGTGTCTGCACTCCCATGGTCTGCTGTCCTCTAATCACATCCAGTTTGACGTTAACACTTCTTGTTTCTTTGCCACATGGCAGGCTGGCTATCCACGTCCTAACCCCCGGAATTTGTTAATATCACCTTTTATGCAAAAGGACTTCTGCAGATGACAGTAAGTCTTAACTTGAGATGGGAGATTATTCTGCATTATCCAGGCAGACCCAGTGGAGCCACAGGGGATGAGAGATCAGAGAGAGGAGATGACGTAAAGACGGAGGGGACTGAAGTGGTGTGGCCAGGATCCAGGGAAAGCAAGGCAGCCTCTAGAAGCTGGAGGAGGCAGGGAAGAGATGCTCCTGAGAGAACCAGCTCTGCTGACCTCTTCACGTTGGCCTGGTAAGATTCCTTCCAGACTCCTGACCTCTAGAACCATATAAGCTCATGCTGTTTTAACCACTTCATTTGTGGCAATTTGTTGCAACAGCACAGGAAATGAATATACTGCATTTTTATCCTGGTTGGACAATTTTCTCCTTCAATTATCCATTTTCATAAAATGATGTGTGGATTTTACTACTGGGAGCCAAGGAAACAACACAATGTGAGCTTTGCTTTCTGTGTGTGAGCCGAGTGACAGATGTACATGAACTAATCGCTAACAGACTTTGGAAGAAGCAGTGTGATTGGTCACTGACTATGACACGCATCTGTTATTTATGTTGCGATTTGTGGACTGAAGACCTAGTTTGTATCTCTTCAGTTAAGCACAGAAAATAGATGGTGGAGATGGATGCTGTGAATTGTGATATGCGTGGATGGGTGCATTTGAACTGAACTATAGTCATTAAAATTTGTGCACATGAGAAGCATTAAAAGTGAGGATGATCTGTGTTTGACTTTCCTACTCATAAATACGGTGGTATATCTATTTAGGTAAGTGTCAATATCTTTCAATAACCTTCTCCATCAAATCTTGAATAGCTTTTTTTGATTTGTTTCTAAAGTTCTTGAATTCTTGTTGATATCACGGTGTCTTCTCTTTCTAAACTGCACATCTGGAATTCTGCTCATGTGTAAAAGTGCAATTTACTTTTGTAAATTGTTTTGTTGTTGTTCAACAATTTTACTAAATCATCCTATCAATTCAAAAAATTAATCCTTAGACTGCGGTGATGGAATCGTTACGATGGTGATTGCCAAGTGGTGATATTCTGATGAAGATGGCCCTTCTTTCCCCCAGCGCTTGCAGAGCGTATCAGTCAGCGTGAAGTGTTGTGCTGTGGCTTTCTTTGCACTCTGGTTGTTCCTCTAGAATTTTCTAAAATTTCTGTCAGTGGAGGTATTGTCACAGGGCCATTAATTTGCCTGTTTGTTTACTTTCCCTATTACATCCAGTAATGTGTGCCCCATTCTTCTCTACACTCCTTTTCTCACAGAAGCAATGCCTTTCAAAGACCACTGTCTCGGATGGATTGTATTTCCAAGTCCCTTTTTGTCTCCAGATCTTCCAGGGCTCCTTTTGTCTTGCACACATGGTGAATATTCTCTGTCTCATGGTATTTGGGGGCCATCTCTGCCCCACAGCTACCTTCCCTCTTTTCTCTCCCATGACATTTTTCTTGAATTTCTGTTGTTCTCCACAAAAACATGCAGTGGAATGTGAAGTAGTGCATTGGGTGGGAGTATTTTTTTACCTATGGGAACTTTGAAGTTTGGGTCTTATCCATCTTCTGGTTGTGATATAAGCATGGCTTTTTACTTAAATTAGCAAAGCCTCAAGGTTTTAGGTATTTGGAAGCGAAGTGGTGAAAAATTCCTAAGGGATGCAGCGGCCTCATGTTAAATGAATGGGTGGTTTTATACACTCTATCACACACCTGGATTTCTATTCTTTTGCATGCTTCCTAATTTGAATCTCATAGTGTTTGAAGATGTGAGCACTGGAGTCAGAATTCTCTAGTTCACATCCTGACACCAACTCTTATATGCTATTTAACTACTTGAGCCTGCTTCTTTGCACATGCAGTATGATTGTGCCCAATGCCTAGGGCTATTGTCAGGATGCACGAGGAAACCCATAAGAAAGTCTTTGATGCAGCTTTAAACCACTGGAAGTACTTTCTAATGCTTTTTTTTTTTTAAACATTAATAATTAAACTATTTCACAAAAAAGGGTTGATTAATGAGTTCTTCTTGTGAACACATTTGCCCCCTCCCTGTCCTCTCAATGTCTTGTCATTGACCTGAATGAGACATGAATTTATATTTATTAAATTTGCAGGTTGACCCAGAGTCAGAAGTTAAATTGTGATGACAAATTAGATGACAAATTCCTGTCCAAGTTGTTCTCTCCTTCTGGAATATATTTCACCAGGATTTAGTTTTTCCTTCTATAGTGTCACTTATCATAGTCTACCTTGGCTGAATTTTTATTTATGTATCTTCCTCCTTTACTAACTTGTGAGGTTTTCAGAAGAAAACTTCTTAATTTATTTTGCTTGGGAAGACAGACAATGAGTCAGTTTTATTCAGATGATTACAATAGATGGGGTCTTAAGGAAGAAAAGGAAGTGAACTGAGATAGACATAAAATTAAAATCCAATATTTCATGCCCCCCCTGAATTCAAAGTGTGTAACTTGTGTTAAGCTGTTGCTATCCTTGCATGTAGGATGGATTAGAGGGTGGAAGGAGAGGAAGTTTCCAACTAGGAGGTCATTGGGGTGGCTGATAAGACTGCAGTCAGAGATGTGGACGATCAGATGGACCTGAGATCTCATTTAGACCAACAGAAGCTAGTGTAGGATTGGATTTAATTGTCTCAGTTACAAGTGTGCTGATGGTTGGGTTATAAAAATTGGTGAAAACTATAGAGTTAAGACCCTGTGGAGATATTAACACTCTTGCTGTGAAGGAAAAAACGCTTCTGTGGATTTGCCAGATTTTTTGTCAGTTAACATAATTAACCCCATGGAGGAAAGGATATGACGCCTTTCTTATTCAATCCCCCTTAACCCCAGCTTCCTCTCTTCCCTCCTGCTTCTTGGGTGGTTTATTAGCGAGCCAAGCTCAACAGAGTGCAGTTAGAAAAATAGTAACGGCAGCGATGGAAGTATGCATTATTCTCATGGGTCAAACACTTGACCACAGGCTTAGCTGTGAGCTGACCAGAAGGAGACCCCTTGTCTCGACAAGAATTACTGAGTTGATGGTAAAACACATCTAACCTATTCATCAATAATGAAATTAGTGGAGTTATAATGGAAATAAGATTTTAATTAGTTTGCAATTTCTGAAAATACCACACGTGCTTCACCTGCATGACAAGCATGAAGCAGACCATGATTTTCTATGAAGAGGATTTTGCTGGAGAACACCTTGTCCAGTCTGCTGGAAAAACAGATGTTCCTTAACTGTCTGACCAGAGGCTGCAGCAGAGAAGGCAATGGCAACCCATTCCAGTACTCTCGCCTGGAAAATCCCATGGACGGAGGAGTCTGGTGGGCTGCAGTCCATGGGGTCACAAAGAGTCAGACACAACTGAGCAACTTCGTTTTCACTTTTCACTTGCATGCATTGGAGAAGGAAATGGCAACCCACTCCAGAGTTCTTGCCTGGAGAATCCCAGGGACAGGGGAGCCTGGTGGGCTGCCGTGTATGGGGTCGCACAGAGTTGGACATGACTGAAGCGACTTAGCAGCAGCAGAGGCTGCAGACATGATGCAGGCAGAGACCTGCCCAGGCCAACTTGAGTTCCCTTCCTGGTTCTGTTCTGCCCACAAAGTTCAGGGGGCTTTTTCTTTAACCATTGCCAACAAAACACAACCATTCCCTGATTTTGCTTTGAGTTTTTTGTTTGTTTAAACAATTTTTTATTTTCAATCTAGGTAGGAAATAAAAGATCCCCACAGTAACACTCAAAAGCTGTCAATATGAAGCAGCAATGCATCTCTGCAGTCATGAAGATGCCCTGCTCACCAGCAGTGAGTTCAGGGCTCATCCAAGGTCAGAGGAGCCATGGGGCCCCTTTGTAGGAAATGGTGACACTTCAATCCTTGATACGAGGTCTCTCTAGGTTTTGGCTTCTTGAGATCAAGATAGGGCCTCCTGAAGAGAGCCTTTCAATTTCCCGGGTTTAAACAATCTTTATGAAATCAAGCCTCTTTGGAAGTGAAGAGCAGTCAGCTTCATTTGTGTTAATTGAATTGCATCTCAAGAGATACTTGTCTGCAATCTTTAACAAATACTTAAGAAATTCTGTTCGCTGTCTAGAAACATACATCAGAAGGACCCACAGAGGTCATTTCTTTGTCTCCCGGCTTTGGAGAAGACTTGATCTTCCCTTCCCAAATATGCAAGGGTTTCTCTCAAGTGTACTTGCAAGGAGGGAGGTGGGAAACTGGAGCCAAGGGCAACCTGTCCTCCATTATGTGTCAGAAGTCATGCGACATTCAGGACTCACTTCTGTCCCCAGTGTGCTAACACGTTTTATTCCATGTTGTGCAAACTGCACAGGAGAGCTGGGCTCTCCGCAACAGGGCAGGTGCCTGCAGTTCACGGTGCCACCTCTTGACCTTGGCCACGCCTCGTTTGCTCGGTGGCCATGGCTCACCTTGGCCATAAATAGAAGGGCACGGCTAGTCTAGGGGCTAAGATGTGGCTGCCGATGTGTAGGTGACGGGACCGGGAAACAACTGTGAGCGTGGCAGGAAACGCGCCGGCTGCGGCTGCCTCCAGCGATGCTCCCGGACCCTAAAGAGCTGCGGACACACCGAGGGGGAATGGGCAGAGCCCATGGAGGGGATGCACGGGCGGCTGCTGCTGCTCTTCCAGGACCAAACCCAAAGAAGCCCCTGGCCCTTCGTGCCCCTGCTCCGCTCCCAGGAGAGCTCGTCTGCCCCCAGACTCTGGGATGCTGTGAAGACGGCTGACAGACTGGAGATGCCGGCCCGACCGGGGTTTGCGGGTTGGGGGAGGGGGGAGGCCCAGGGGGGTACCCATGAGTGGCTGTGGCTTCCAGAGAGCTTTCCCTATGAAGTCAGATTGCGGCTCACAGATCACTAGCTGCTTCTTCACTGAATCTTCCTGAGGGCGAGTGCGAACTCTGCGGATGGTGGAGCTTTCTGAGATCTGCCCCAGGCCTGCCTTTCTCAGGGGTGCCCTGAGTCTGCATCCTCCTGCTCTCTAGCTGTTTCCACTGCTCTGGCTGCCAGGGGAAGGCGCCAGCTGTCAGTGGAGGCCACACAAGGGAGACTAGTGGCCTGCATCCTGCATCCTTCTGCCGGTCTGGTGGATCCGTCACCGGACAGCGCGGGTGCTGTAGCAGCAGCAGGACAGCCGGGCCCTGCGCCCACCTCCGCTGCAGCTGACCCTGCGTCCACCTCGGCTGCAGCTGGCCCTGCGCCCTGGCCTCAAAACTCACCACTCTCCGCCTCGGGCAGCCTGATGCTGGGCGCCAGGCTCTGAGCCACTTGTCCCTCGTGCTGAGGCTAGAGGGATGCGGGTGTGCTTGTCAACCGGGACCCACAGGACAGCTGGCAGCACCTGGGGCCACCAAGGGTGCCGGCTCATTTCTCTGTGAAATCGTCAGCCACCTGTGGGTCAGCAGCAACGGGAGGGAGGGGTGGATGGGGGAGGAGGGGGTGGATGGGGGAGGGTGGATGGATGGGGAGGGAGGGATGGATGGGGGAAGGAGGGATGGGGGAAGGAGGGATGGATGAGGGAGGGAGGGGTGGATGGGGAGGGGTGGATAGAGGAGGAAGAAAGGAGGAGGGAGAAGGGAAGGAGGAAGGAGGGGAGGGAGAAAAAACACATTTTAAATTTATTATTAGGTTTTCACTCTTCTAATGCCACTAGCACCGAAAAATTGATGCTTTTGAGTTATAGTGTTGGAGAAGACTCTTGAGAGTCCCTTGGACTGAAAGGAGATCCAACCAGTCCATCCTAAAGGAGATCAGTCCTGGGTGTTCATTGGAAGGACTGATGCTGAAGCTGAAACTCCAATACTTTGGCCACCTGATGCGAAGAGTTGACTCATTGGAAAAGACCCTGATGCTGGGAGGGATTGGGGGCAGGAGGAGAAGGGGACGACAGAGGATGAGATGGCTGGATGGCATCACCGACTCAATGGGCATGAGTTTGAGTTAATTCCAGGAGTTGGTGATGGACAGGGAGGCCTGGAGTGCTGCAATTCATGGGATCGCAAAGAGGTGGACACGACTGAGTGACTGAACGGAACTGAACTGAATGCCACTAGCTCATTTTGACTAAGCAAATTTTGTGTGCCTAAAGACCCAGAACCATGTGCTCTGGGTGCAAGTTACACAAAAGGATTTCTAGGTCGGTGCACCCTAAGAGCAGAAAGAAAGAAGAGCTGAGGGCTTGCTCCTCCCTCCTCCACGTCTGAGGTCATGGGGCTGCTGGAGGCTGGACCGCCAGGACGATGGGGGCGCCTGCGGCTGCCGCAGCTTGGATGGCCGCGAGTTGGGACATAGGACTCGAGCAGGGAGGTCTTTGGGCGGTGGGGCGTCCTGGACTCTGGCCGCCTCGGGCTCCTGCCATGTCGGTCAGCCCTCTGCCAGGGAGGGGGCTGTGGCTCCCTCCTCTTTCCACACCCTCTGGTTCAGGGCTTCCTTGTCCCATGCCTAGGAAGTGCTCAGTGGATGATTTCAGAAGCTAAGTAAACTGAAATTGCAGTTATGGGGGAATATTAAAACCTGATGCAAATATACAGACACACTGCAGACCAGATGTCATCTGAGATACAAGACTGTCAAAACCCTTGCTCCTTTGCCTGACATTCGCCCGGTGAGACAATTCTTAACACTTCCCATCTCACTTTGCAGACAGAATCTTCTCAGTACCCTTTGAACTCTGACTTTGAAAAACAGTTCATTACCAACATGTCCATTTGCCTGTTTGCCTAACGATGAGGGGATGAGAAAGTGAAATTTCTAATCACCCAGAAACAGAAATATGAAACCATACGATGGTCTCTGGTCTCCCAGGAGAGCAGCTGTCCTTGGGTTTTCTTTGCTTGTGTTCTATGGAAATACTTAGAAAATACTTAGAAACTTGACCAAAACATCGCCTGCAAGATGGTTTGCCCAAATCTGAGGGCAGAACTGCATCCAGGAAATGGAGAAATGCAGTGTACATTACCAACTGCTTTGGTAATGAACCATTAGGACTTGGTTTTGGCAAATGGGAAAATTCCATGGAGAGAGGAGCTACAGTCCATAGGGAAGCAAAGAATGGAACCTGACTGAAGTGACTTAGCACCTGCCAAACTTTGTTCCAAAAAGAAACTTGAAAAAAGCCAAGACTCACTAAGTCCTTTGGGCTTAGCCTGGACAGTGGGTACAGCGAGTCTGTCTTTCTTTGTATTTTTGGGGCAAGAGTGTCTTGGCCTGTGTGTGAATAGAGGCAAGAATGTGTGTGCACAGATCACGATGTTCTGGAGTGCAGACCCTGCCTCCTGACTGCCTGGGACCTTCAGTGTTAAGCAAACATTCCATAGTCTGAGATCGAGTTTTCCCAAATAATGATGCTCCACCAGGAATGAGGGCTTCCCTGGTGGCTCAGTGGTAAAGAATTTGCCTGCAATGCAGAAAACCCACGTTCGATCCCTGGGTTGGGAAGATGGCCTGGAGAAGGAAATGGTAACCTGCTCCAGTATTTCTGCCTGGCAAATCCCATGGACAGAAGAGCCTGACAGGCTACAGTCCATGGGATCACAAAAGGGTGGATACAACTAAGAGACGGAACCACCACCACCACCACGAATGAAGACCAAGGGGCTTAATCTGATCACTCCTTTAAAAAAGTGTTTTACTAAGTTTTAATTTTTTTTCTTTTGTTCCTCTCAGAGCTGTGTATCTTCTGTCTCACGAGATATGCTTTGCCCGAGGGGGCTTGGTGAATCAACCAGGCGCACCTCGGGGTGTGAGCTGGGCAGTTCTCTCCCACAGTACCCTGGTGACCCGAGCCTGCCTGGTGTGGAAGCATGATTTCAAATTCTGCCCTTGAAAGGTGGATGAAGCAGCGTTGCTCATGTGTATTTGTCCCTGTGCTGTCAAACATCTCTTGGATTCTAGAGTCTTGGACAGCTTAATAGCCAAGTCCTTGGTCAGTGTTACTGGAGTCAGGTCGTCCTGCCTTTAAGTCACGGCTTAGATTTATTTGAGCACCGGGGTGGGGTGATACCTGGTTAAGGACAGCACCTGGCTATGTGTGTATCATTGTGACTCAGTGATACCAAAGTGCCCAGATGGGACGGAGAGCATTCTATCTCTAAGGAGCCGTCGACCTCGGGGCAAATCCACTTCCGCCGTTTTCCCAGCACACAGCTTGAGGAGCATGTCAGGGCTCTTCTGGTGTAGAGACTGTGCAGCCTGGGGTTGTTCCTGGGATTGATTTGCTTTTCTTTCTTCTTCTAAAGCTATAGCCCTGACCTCTCATCAAGCACGTCACCTCTAGAATATTGTTGGTTGACTGGTGTATGTTTCTCTTAAGACACTCTCTCACTTTCATTCTCTTTCTAACTTTTGGGATGTTAGATAGCAACTTTTAATCATAACTTTTGGGATGATAGATAGGTGAATTCATGGAGACAGAAAGCAGATAAGTGAACTTTGGGGGCTTGGGGAAGGAGTTGGGGAGTAATTGTGTTTTCCAGGTAAAGGCTCTTTTCCACATGTATTGGAAAAGGAAATGGCAGCCCACTCCAGGATTCTTGCCTGGGAAATCCCATGGACAGAGGAGCCTGGCAGGTTCATGGGCTGGCAGAGAGTTGGATGTGACTCGGTGACTCAATTGAAGCCTCACGTATAAGTTCTGGGGGTTAGGATGTGGATGTATCTTTGGGGGTCACCATTCAAGCCACCGAAGGTGGTGATTGAGTTTCCAAAACTGCTTGGTGGGCTTCTGGCCATCCCTTCCATCCGGGGGTCACTGGGCTCCAGAGGCCAAGGCCTCACAGAGAGGTGGCTGCCTCCCCCACCGCGCCGTGGGAACCCATCCCCGGATGACTCATCAGGAAACGAGGCTGCCTCCAGTTTCATCAGTGTCCGTTTCAGAAACTGCGTTTGGTTTTAGCAGTTCTCTGTGCTCTGTAAATGTAAAGTCCTGGATTTACAGCCTGGTAATAACTCTGCAGAGCGGCCCAGGGGCTCGCACAGGATATGAACCAGGTCCAGTGACAGCAGGACGGCTGTGATCCCCGGGCGGGGCCCTGCCCCGACGCCACTCCCTCGTGAGAGTGCTCTAATAGCCAGGGGGCAAGGGTCACGGGGGGCTTGAGAAGGAACAGCTTCCTGGAGAGATGGCTGTAATCACAGCCTCCCCAGAAGGGACTCCACCCCCCCAACACACCTACAGTCACGCGTAGGAATGTATATGTTCCATGCACAGTGGACCCGAGGTCAGCTGTAAGGCAGCCTGCAGAGTAGGTGAGGTGTGGATCTAGTCACCCTCCATCCCACCTTTCTGATGATCTTTAATTTTCTTTGGCTACGTCCAATATTTGTGTCATCCAACCCTCAGCTCTGAATGCTTCCTCTGTTCTTTCTTGTTAAAATCCCCTCTCCTCTGTTCCTTTCTCAGGAATCTCATCTGTTTTACCGGAAAAGGGGGAATGGCAAGAGGGTCAGACAATGCAACCCTTGGCTTTGGGCTGGCTCCACCCATGCGCCCTTCCACGTCCTAAGTTGTCCTGAAATTAATTCAAGAAGGGGATGTTGGGAAGGAAATGACTTTGGTCATGAGCATGTCTCAGCATCAGCAGAAGAATTGAGGCTTTTGAACTGTGATGTTAGAGGAGACTCTTGAGAGTCCTTGGACTGCAAGGAAATCCAACCTGTCCATCTGAAAGGAAATCAGCCTTGAATATTCATTGGAAGGACTGATGCTGAAGCTGA